ACTGTGTGATGGGAATCTTCCAGGAGAAGAGACAAATGTAGGAATGTCATTTGGTGCGGCCCCAAATTACAGTGTGCGCCAAGTCCGCGAGGTATTTCCTTTTTACAACGAGGGAGATGAGACACTGCTGGACTTCCTGACAGAGCGAGCCAGGGAGGGGGACTCGACGCGACTCATTGTGCATGGAAACAAGCGCATTTGGGTTAGGACATTTACGGACTTCAAGAACACTGACTTTCGGTGCCCGGATGCCGAACAAAATGAATTGTCTTTTCGTTTTGCGCTACCAAAATCATCCGCATTGTCTCATCCGTGTGGAAAGGCTGAAGAAGGGACGCATATATCGCCGGTAATTGGCCGTGCCGTTTGTAAAAACTGCTTTCATAGCATGGGAAATAGCTTGTTTGGCTCTCCGGCCGCTTGTTGCTCGCCACATACACTTAACATTTCGTGGGGAGCATTTCTAGAACTTCTGATTTACAGTTCATCTCGGTTCACCCTGCGCTGCGGCCACAGTCTGAGCCAGGAGGCCTGCATTTCTTTTGTTGTGTTCTCGCGTACTGGTGGGGAAGTCACTGTCAGCATCATCGTCGAGTCTCTCACTGTCTATGATGTCATTACCCCACCGGAAAAATTGCCGTCGGGTGTTGACACCCTCGAATTATATTTGAAGACGGAAAAGGAAGAGCTGCTGCGTTGTGTCCAGAGCATCGTTGGCGCCATACAAGCAATGACCGCGTCGCAAGCACAGCAGCAACAAGCATCCGCAGTTCAGACTCAGCCTTCGCCGTCAAATAATCAACGAATTCCTAAGCCTCCACTTGCTAATTTATTGAATGGACGCGGATTTGGGCTGGGGGATTCCCCAGAATTTGGCGAGGACAAAGGCATGTTACTCCTACGGCGTGCAGCAGATCTCCTTCTTCTCATCCCTTCCTTGAAAACTGGAGAAGATTTGACAATTCTGCGTCTCAATGATTTGGCAAACCTGGTGTCGGACTTCCTTGAATGGTACAAGAATGGCGTGTTTTTAGCAGAACGGCGTAACGGAAAAGCGCCGACACTTATGGAAATTACAGCGTTTGAAGATCAACATTGGGCTTACTGCCCGCGTGGCCACTGTGGACTTCGGTTAAATGAGCCCACTTCTCTTGTCGCGCTGACTCTTCAGGTCTCGGGACTTTCTCCTGGAAGTCAGCGCGATTCTCTTTTGGGCTATGTGAGAAATGATGTGCGACCGCTTTATGAAACTGCATCCAAGGAAATTGCGCCTAATGATCATGATTCTATTGTGGATGATAACGCGGATAATAATGAGCCCATGGCCTGTGCGGAGGAACGTGCCCAAGGATTTCCTGAAGAATCCATGGCTATTATGCTCGGTATTGAACCCTCCTTATTACCGGACATTGCACCCTCCTCATTATTTATTTCTTCTGTACTTGATGCCCTCGACATTCTTGCCAATCGGAGCCCCGCGTCAAAAACAACGTTTAAACATGCCATGGATGTGATGCTTCCATGGGATAAAAATGGAGTAGCAACCGTGACGGTAGAAGTCATGTTTCCTGAACAATTTGCGGCGCTTCAATACATTTATACGGGGGGCAGAGTGGATGACATGTTGCTTTCTCTCTCTCGCTCTCGCGCCATTAAGCCGCAGGGGGGGAAAACGAAATCGGAGTTTTTTATCACGCTCGATGAGCGATTCTTGATGAAACAAATAAAACAGGCGGAGCTGAAGCATTTCGCCGAGTTTGGACCCAAATATTTTTCATACATGTCTCACATGTATGGCAAAGCGGAAAATCATGGGAAACACGATGCCACATCATACTGCAGTAGTGTCCTTTGTAAAATTTTCGGAGTGTTTTCTATACATGTGAAGCGGGCGAAGCGTTTTTTGGATACCCCAGCCGAAATCCGTTACTTTGCTTTAATGGAAAACGTCTTTTTCTCTCGCCGAGCTGATGTCACTTACGATTTAAAAGGAAGTCAACGAAATCGTACGGCGGTGGAAGGGTCGTCTGTTCTTTTGGATCAGGACCTCGTCAACACATTGCGAAAAGGAGCCTTTTTTTATTGCACAAACGACGTGAAAAGTATTCTCATGGACAGCTTGACGGCTGACGCCCATTTGCTTTCAACGTCTTCTATCATGGACTACTCTCTCATCGCCGCCCTCAACGAAGATTCTCGTCAGCTTTGCCTTGGTGTGATTGACTACCTCCATCCCTACACAGGTGTGAAGGTAATCGAATCAAAGGTCAAGGCGGGGATCGACACGGTCCTTGGCCATGCCGGTCGCGACCCCACAATCATTGACCCAGTCAGCTACAGAATTCGGTTCGCGAGATGGTTGGAGGGCTGCTTTTGCGGGGTGCCCGACAAATCATTCGCCGTACGACGCGCCATGGCAAAAGAAAATCGACGAATAAACAAATGAGCGGACTCGCATATTAAAGAAATTCGTTCTCCTTTTATTCCCTTCTCTTCCCTGCCTCTCTAATTTGCTAATTTGACCCACAACCTGCTACACAAAACAAATCCGGGGGCGCACGATCAAACACAAAATAATCGCCACAGCCAGCAAACGCAAAAAGCAAACAAAGTAATTCAACAAAACTCTTTTACCCACCTCCTCCCTAACACAAAGAAGAACACAAACAATAGATTTATAAGAAATACATCAAAAAAGAGAAGCCACAAATATATAAGCGCCCGGCGTCACGGGGCGGTGGGTCTCAAGACGCACCTTTCCTGGCCAGCCGGCGAGGTCGCGGCGGGCGGGGCGGCTGTCAGACCTGTTGAGTTTGTTTTTGGCCATCACGCAAGCGCGCTCACGGGGCCACGCGCCCTCGCGCACAAGAGTCGGTTGCTTCCATCAGCAGCGGCGCGCGCCCACCACAACCCACCTCCGGGCAATTCAACCCTCTCTTTCTCTTTCTCTCTCTTGCGCTTTCGGGCGGGCCCGCCACCAACCGTTTGCACAGACAGGGCGCCAGACAGGGCAAGATGTTACGTGGGCGCCGTTGCGCAAGAAAGAAAGACGACAACAATAGCAGGAATTGGGGGGGTGGGTGGAGGGAAGCGGGCGCTCAGCCGAAAGGTGATTTTTATTGTTCCGTTCTCAATGCGTCGCTCAAACTGTTTGGACCTCGAACAACATGTCTCCATCGTAGCGCGTGTATTTGTGTGTGTGTGTGTGTGTGTGTGTGTGTGTGGTGGGCGTGCGCGTCGCTGGGCTGCAAAACCGCACGGCGAGAGCAAAGGAACAAAGAAAAAAAAAAAAAAGGTGGGGGTGTAAAGCAAAGCACTTCAGTGTGAGCTGAGTCGGGAATTGCGTCCTCACGCGTTTTCGTCGTCAGACTGACAGGAAACTGTGGAATTTCATCACGCGTCGCAGCCGCATCTCTCACCCGTGCGGGTCCTCTCGGTTTTGTTTTTTTCCCATCGTTTCCCAAACTGGGGAGGGAGCCTCGACGCGCGCACCGTCACCGCAAACTCTCGCGCAACCGGACAGGGGCGCCACGCGCGGCACCGACAGTGCGCCACCGGCCCAAGGGTTGTTGCGCTTCACGACCGGCGTGCCTCTTTCTCGGGGCGCCGATGCACCCAAGCGCCCAGCGTCACGGGGCGGTGGGTCTCAAGACGCACCTTTCCTGGCCAGCCGGCGAGGTCGCGGCGGGCGGGGCGGCTGTCAGACCTGTTGAGTTTGTTTTTGGCCATCACGCAAGCGCGCTCACGGGGCCACGCGCCCTCGCGCACAAGAGTCGGTTGCTTCCATCAGCAGCGGCGCGCGCCCACCACAACCCACCTCCGGGCAATTCAACCCTCTCTTTCTCTTTCTCTCTCTTGCGCTTTCGGGCGGGCCCGCCACCAACCGTTTGCACAGACAGGGCGCCAGACAGGGCAAGATGTTACGTGGGCGCCGTTGCGCAAGAAAGAAAGACGACAACAATAGCAGGAATTGGGGGGGTGGGTGGAGGGAAGCGGGCGCTCAGCCGAAAGGTGATTTTTATTGTTCCGTTCTCAATGCGTCGCTCAAACTGTTTGGACCTCGAACAACATGTCTCCATCGTAGCGCGTGTATTTGTGTGTGTGTGTGTGTGTGTGTGTGTGTGTGTGTGTGTGGGCGTGCGCGTCGCTGGGCTGCAAAACCGCACGGCGAGAGCAAAGGAACAAAGAAAAAAAAAAAAAAGGTGGGGGTGTAAAGCAAAGCACTTCAGTGTGAGCTGAGTCGGGAATTGCGTCCTCACGCGTTTTCGTCGTCAGACTGACAGGAAACTGTGGAATTTCATCACGCGTCGCAGCCGCATCTCTCACCCGTGCGGGTCCTCTCGGTTTTGTTTTTTTCCCATCGTTTCCCAAACTGGGGAGGGAGCCTCGACGCGCGCACCGTCACCGCAAACTCTCGCGCAACCGGACAGGGGCGCCACGCGCGGCACCGACAGTGCGCCACCGGCCCAAGGGTTGTTGCGCTTCACGACCGGCGTGCCTCTTTCTCGGGGCGCCGATGCACCCAAGCGCCCAGCGTCACGGGGCGGTGGGTCTCAAGACGCACCTTTCCTGGCCAGCCGGCGAGGTCGCGGCGGGCGGGGCGGCTGTCAGACCTGTTGAGTTTGTTTTTGGCCATCACGCAAGCGCGCTCACGGGGCCACGCGCCCTCGCGCACAAGAGTCGGTTGCTTCCATCAGCAGCGGCGCGCGCCCACCACAACCCACCTCCGGGCAATTCAACCCTCTCTTTCTCTTTCTCTCTCTTGCGCTTTCGGGCGGGCCCGCCACCAACCGTTTGCACAGACAGGGCGCCAGACAGGGCAAGATGTTACGTGGGCGCCGTTGCGCAAGAAAGAAAGACGACAACAATAGCAGGAATTGGGGGGGTGGGTGGAGGGAAGCGGGCGCTCAGCCGAAAGGTGATTTTTATTGTTCCGTTCTCAATGCGTCGCTCAAACTGTTTGGACCTCGAACAACATGTCTCCATCGTAGCGCGTGTATTTGTGTGTGTGTGTGTGTGTGTGTGTGTGTGTGTGTGTGTGTGGGCGTGCGCGTCGCTGGGCTGCAAAACCGCACGGCGAGAGCAAAGGAACAAAGAAAAAAAAAAAAAAGGTGGGGGTGTAAAGCAAAGCACTTCAGTGTGAGCTGAGTCGGGAATTGCGTCCTCACGCGTTTTCGTCGTCAGACTGACAGGAAACTGTGGAATTTCATCACGCGTCGCAGCCGCATCTCTCACCCGTGCGGGTCCTCTCGGTTTTGTTTTTTTCCCATCGTTTCCCAAACTGGGGAGGGAGCCTCGACGCGCGCACCGTCACCGCAAACTCTCGCGCAACCGGACAGGGGCGCCACGCGCGGCACCGACAGTGCGCCACCGGCCCAAGGGTTGTTGCGCTTCACGACCGGCGTGCCTCTTTCTCGGGGCGCCGATGCACCCAAGCGCCCAGCGTCACGGGGCGGTGGGTCTCAAGACGCACCTTTCCTGGCCAGCCGGCGAGGTCGCGGCGGGCGGGGCGGCTGTCAGACCTGTTGAGTTTGTTTTTGGCCATCACGCAAGCGCGCTCACGGGGCCACGCGCCCTCGCGCACAAGAGTCGGTTGCTTCCATCAGCAGCGGCGCGCGCCCACCACAACCCACCTCCGGGCAATTCAACCCTCTCTTTCTCTTTCTCTCTCTTGCGCTTTCGGGCGGGCCCGCCACCAACCGTTTGCACAGACAGGGCGCCAGACAGGGCAAGATGTTACGTGGGCGCCGTTGCGCAAGAAAGAAAGACGACAACAATAGCAGGAATTGGGGGGGTGGGTGGAGGGAAGCGGGCGCTCAGCCGAAAGGTGATTTTTATTGTTCCGTTCTCAATGCGTCGCTCAAACTGTTTGGACCTCGAACAACATGTCTCCATCGTAGCGCGTGTATTTGTGTGTGTGTGTGTGTGTGGGCGTGCGCGTCGCTGGGCTGCAAAACCGCACGGCGAGAGCAAAGGAACAAAGAAAAAAAAAAAAAGGTGGGGGTGTAAAGCAAAGCACTTCAGTGTGAGCTGAGTCGGGAATTGCGTCCTCACGCGTTTTCGTCGTCAGACTGACAGGAAACTGTGGAATTTCATCACGCGTCGCAGCCGCATCTCTCACCCGTGCGGGTCCTCTCGGTTTTGTTTTTTTCCCATCGTTTCCCAAACTGGGGAGGGAGCCTCGACGCGCGCA